AACAATAGAACTCAGAAGGTCATCACACAGCCTATTACCCAGGTTGTTACAACACAGGAGGCTGATAGACACACAGCCAATACCTCAGCCACACATGTTCTTACAAAAAAGCCAGTCAATCCGCAAACATCAACTCCATCAACCAATCAAGAAATGACAACACAGCCAACCTCCCCACCAGTATTTATAGAGAGACGGCAGTTCTGATCACTCTTTGCTCGCACAAGCATGAAGCCGAAAGCACCAGCCTGAAGATGGCGAGTGGGGCCTCGTCGAAACGTCACCAAGATACTTTCAATCTTACATGGGAAAAGACCCAAACACGCCAAGACCTGCATATATATATAGATATATAGATACAGATACAGATACAGATATATACAAAGAGAGAGAGAGATGATGTACAAAGGTCTCAAAGGGCTTTCAAGTGCTTTTTTAATGGGTGAGGAAAGCTAGGTAAATAATAGATGTTTTAAATAAGTCAAAAATAATGTATTCATTTTATATGCATTTTAATTTTTAGGAAACTGATTTCCTTTGTCTTGATGGTGAAGAATATGTTTTTGAAAATGAAGACAGCATACTTAATCATCGTGCTGAAGAAAATGAGCATGTATCTCTTTACACTGATGGTAAAGACTCAGACTTTAACATGCCTGAGGATGAAATCATGAAGCGCCCAGATACTTCTATCCCAAAAGAATATAGCAGTCACAGCAAGGCTGATCAAGATGAGTCTAGCCAGCAAGAGGATCCAATCAGCCAGGCTCTGATTCCCGTCCCAACTCAGTCAACTTGGACTGTTTCTGGGATTGCAGGTTGGCTTGGTTTGAGAAGGGAAGAAAATAAGGAGGCTTTTGGAAAATCCTCAGAGATTGCAGAACAAGTTACATTTAGACATAGAAAAATAGCAATAGATGATAATGCTGATATTAAAAAACAACCCAAGAAGAGTAAAATGGAGCCACATAGCTGGTTTCAGAGCAGTTTGACAGATGTCTTTCATTTTGGAAATGAAAAACCAGGACATGATCTGCTGTACAAAGATGGTGATTCAGATCTCCATAGCAGTTGCAACACTGCTTCTAATAGTGGCCACCATAGCAGAACTGCAGCTTCTGAAGCAAGAATAGAGAAACACAGTGATAATGAGCTGTCTGAATCAAACTGGTTTGATCTGAAGTTAAATGATATTTTAACTTTTGGGTACACTCAAAAAGACGGAGAGCAGCTTGCAAATGGAGAAGTAGATCAAAATGAAGACTCACTGCCTCCTAATATACAATCAGTCCCAGTGGAGGATGGTTTGAGAGAAGCAGCAGTAGAGCAAATACTCTATGAAGAACAAAACAAATATGTTAAAAAGAACATAGAGCAAACAGCTGAATCAGTAGTAGATGAAGAGAAAGAAAAATATCATGAAGAAATTACCAGCCCAGATATTACAGATACTGAAGTTCCTTTAGGAAATGAACATCCTGATTTCATGGAAGCTGCTTCTTTTTCCACTGAACTTGCTGAAAATCTAAAATCTTCCAGTACAGAACAAGATTCAGTATCAAGGAACCAAATAATTGAAAATACTCCGGAGTCAGAAAGAATAAAAAGCCAGTCAGGTTTGTATGAAAGCGTATATAATAATATAGTTGAAGTTAATAAGGCCATATCAGTTAATCAGTTAAGACATAAGTCTCGAGCTATTCAGAGCTCAGTTGTAGAGCAGCTTACATCTTTTCACAGTATAGATAATTTTGTTCCATTACATACTCAAATTGAAGGAGAAGAAAATCAAAAAGGCTCTAAAAAGCTTCAGTTTTTCTATCCCGTTATCTATTTTACAAATGTACTAGATTTTAAGTAAGTTAGACCTAAAGAAAATGCAGACACTTTGGGTATGGATCTAAAACCTAATGAGTAAAACTGACAACCTAAAAATAGTGAATACTGGTAGCATTTTCTACAGATAAAGAAAATAAAAAGCAGTTTCTATTAAATTAGAATATTATCAAAAAAGAATTAGAAAACAGAATACTGACACTTCTCAGGAAAACTTTATCCTGTCTTCTTTAGCAGCAAAAGCTAGTGAAAAAAACATAGAAACCATTGAAAATGGTGAATTAGTAGAAGTTAATAAACCACACTTGCGGCTAGTGAATTCTAATAAAAATATTGCCTTTCCTATGTAGACAAATAACTAATTATAAAAAGGGTCAGGATCAGAAAAGGAAAGGTTTGGAAATATAGAAACACTTTAATCCAAAAATAATCAAAAAAGATTATTCACATTCTAGAATTCAAGAAACAGTCTCATCTAGAGGTAGAAAATATAGCTAATTCACCATCAGTGTAACAAGCTATGAAACAAAAAAGAAAAGATGCTGGGAAAATAGCTGGACCAGATAAAATAGAACAAGTAGAAAATTTACTTTTGCAGGTGTCAGAAACATTTGTAGAAAGAATGTCTAAAAGCATGCAAGAAAAAAAAATTAATCTGGAAATGCATGAAAAATGTTTTTGAAAGAGCTAAATGAACCCTTAAGGAATTTTTCACAGTGCCAGGATATGCCAGATGACAATAGAATAAAATAGAACAGAGTTGGATGGGGCTTTGGAGGTCTTCTAGTCCAAGCCCCTGATTAAGCAGGAAACCCTACACCTCTTCAGATAAATGGTTATCCAATCTCTTCTTAAAAACTTCCAGTATTGGAGCATTCACAACTTCTGGAGGCAAATTGTTTCCCTGATTCATTGTTCTAACTGTCAGGAAATTTCTTCTTAGTTCTAGGTTGCTTCTCTCCTTGATTAGTTTCCACCCATTGCTTCTTGTCCTGCCCTCATGTGCTTTGGAGAATAGCTTCTTTGTGGCAACTCCTGAAGTATTGGAACACTGCTATCATGTCACCCCTAATCCTTCTTTTCATCAAACTAGACATACCCAGTTCCAGCAACCGTTCTTGATATGTTTCAGCCTCCAGTCCCCTAATCATCTTTGTTGCTCTTCTCTGTACTCTTTTTAGGGTCTCAACATCTTTTTTACATCGTGGCAACCAAAACTGGATGCATATTCCAAGTGTGGCCTTACCAAGGCATTATAAAGTGGCATGAACACTTCATGTAATCTTGATTCTATCCATCTGTTTATGCAGCCTAGAACTGTGTTGGCTTTTTTCGTTGCTGCAGCACACTGTTGGCTCATATTTAAATGATTGTCCACTAGGATTCCAAGATCCCTCTCACAGTTACTACTATTGAGCAAGGCACCACCTATAGTGTACCTGTGCATTTATTTTTTTTGCCTAAATGTAGAACCTTACTTTTTTTACCAGTGAATTTCATTTTGTTTGATAGTGCCCGATGTTAAATCTGTCAAGATCCTTTTATAATTAAGCCTATCTTCTGGAATATTGGCTATTCCTACTAGCTTGGTGTTGTCTTCAAATTTGATGAGTTCCCCATCTATCCCCTTATCCAAATCATTTATGAAGATGTTAAAGAGGCCTAAAACATAGCCATGGGGTACCTCACTGCATATTTCTCTCCATGTAGATGCAATTCCATTGAGGATTAGACTTTTAGTGTGGTTGGTCAGCCAGTTACTAATCCATCTGGTGGTGATGCTGTCTAACTCACATTTTTCTATTTTATCAAGTAGTAAGTTATAGTCTACTTTATCAAATGCCTTACTGAAGTCCAAGTAAATTATATCGACAGCATTCCTCTAGTCCACTAATTTTGCGCCTTTGACAAATAATGCAATAAAGTTAGTCTGATCTGTTTTTTGATAAACCCATGTTGCCTTTTGATTATTACTTTGTTTGCTTCTACAGTAGGTGTTCTCTGATTCATTGATGGATTATCTTTTCCAGAATCTTCCCTGGTATTGAGGTCAGGCTAATAGGTCTGTAGTTTCCTGGACCTATTTTTTTCCCTTTTTTGAAGATGGAAACTACATCAGTTTCTCGGTGCTTCAGGATCTTTGAAAGATATAGTTCAGTGGGTCTGAGATCTCGTCTGCCACTTCCTTCAAAACCTTGGGTGTAATCCATCTGGTCCTGCTGATTTGAATTTGTCTGGGCTAGACAGGTGCTCACTTACCATTTTCTTCCCTGGTTTAATTTGCGTTCCTAATCTGCTTTTTGTGGTGCTGTTTTTGATAGGTTGGATGAATGAATAATAAAATATTTATTGCTGTTTTAGACAGTGGGAAATCAGCTATAATGGGGAAGAAAATGAATTTTATTAGAAAGAAGACTTATAATAAGGGAGGAATAAAAGAGAAAAATAGAGAGCAAAAAGCCAAAAATACTAATGAAGTATTTGAAAATTTTAATGAAAATTACTCCAAAGATGCAGGAGATATTAAAGCAAGCTATGTTCATAATTCAGTGGCTAAGACGCTGAGTTTGTCGATCAGAAAGATCGGTAGTTCAGCGGTTCGAATCCCTAGCACCATGTAATGGAGTGAGCTCCCATTACTTGTTCCAGCTTCTGCCAACCTAGCAGTTTGAAAGCATGTAAAAATGCAAGTAGAAAAATAGAGACCACTTTGGTGAGAAGGTAACAGTGTTCTGTGCACCTTCGGCATTTAGTCATGCTGGCCACATGACCACGGAGATGTCTTCAGACAGCACTGGCTCTTCGGCTTTGTAACGGAGATGAGCACTGCCTCCTAGAGCCGGAAGTAACTAGCACGTATGTGCGAGGGGAACCTTTACCTTTACCTTATGTTCATAATGAAAAAGAAAAGCAGGAAGTTACTGAAGATGCAAGGAAGTTAGCTCAGTCTCCATTTTCTATTTGTTTTTCTCCAGATTCAGTCATACATTCTGAAGTACAATACAGTGAAGCTGAAGAGCTCCAGTGCATTTCTTCTTTTAACCACTATAAAGATCTCTTTAGATTTCAGAACTTTCTAGACAAAACCAAAAATTCTTTGCAAGAAATTAAAAGAATCAAAGTTAAAAATAGCCAATCTAAAAATAGTGTTGAATCACTACAGAAAAACAAAGAAATAGAAAAGAAAAATATGTTAAATCAGAAAACAGCAAAGAAAGCAAATCTGAAGGAAGATGTTTTCAACAAAGATTTTTTTCTACTTTCATTAACAATGCAAAACAATGCAGGCAGTGCAAATGTAACAAAAGATGCTAGGATATTATTAGAAACAATTTTTCCTTCATCTGAAAAACATTTTTCAGAATGTATAATAAAACCTTTATTCCAGGATCAAAAAACATGTGATAAAAACTTTGGCAAACCGCACAAAGTCTCAGAATTACAATTTAGTGTACAAAGATCAACAAAACAGTATAAATCTGTAAAGAGAGTTTCCTTATCTAGAAAACAATACATTAAAAAAATTAAACATTTAAACCTAAAATGTTTGGATGAAAGTACACCTGTAATCAGTTACACTGAGTTTATGAAGAAAGCTGAGATTTCAGAACCATTGGTTTGTTTGTATTCGGAAAAATATACCAACAATGATATACAAGATGATGTTATAGATTCTCATAAAGAAAATGAATTTGTTGAGGTGAAGAATGTAGCAAGCATGACACCTGGTACTATGAAAAAAATTTCCGTAAGTTATAACAAAGACTATCCATGGAACAAAAGTATAACTAAAGAAAATATGAATCAGTTTTCTCAAAAAAGAGAAAAAGTACAAATTAATGTATCAAAACAAATTTTGCAATTGACTATTGACAGTCAACCAGATAGCAAAAAGATGCAAACAACTGAAAAGTACCCAAATAACTTAAAGAAGCAAGGGTTATCTCCATTCACTGCAGGTCAAGAACTGCTTCAATGTGAAAAAGAATTTTATGGACATGTCAAACATAATTTGAATTTTGTCACACACAGTGTGGAAAATAAATACTTTCAGGATCCACAGATGCAGACAGGTGAAAGAAGCAATGAAGTAAACAGTTCAGAAATAATAGAAGAATATGATGATAGTGCTCAACGTTGTGATGTTTCTTCAGTACCAAAAACTATTGAAAATTATGCTCCCCAAGAACAAACTATCTCACATTATCCTGATTCTCATACCTTTTCTAAGAAAAATATACATTTACTACCCATGTATAAAAGTCTAATCTATTCAAAAGAAGGTAAAAAAGAATTAAAAAGTAAACAAAAGATTTTAGCTTCTCATGTTGATCAATCAGATAGGGAAAAAAGCATTATAACCAGTACAAGGCCTGATAGAAAGCATATAAACCAGGCAGAATATACCACAAAAACATATTTAGCACCTAATTTAGAAAACAAGTTTAAAATTTTAAGTCAACGTAAGAAACAAGATGGCATTTTAAATACTGGAGATACCGAACTTGAATTTCAGCAAGAAATAGTACCACTAATGTTATCTGTACCAGTAGTAGTATCTCAGAAGAAAACTAAATGCAGTTTAATCACTGACTATCATAATTTACTTCTTAAAAAGCATGGTTTAGTAGACCCTTTTGCCAGTGAAGATCTTCTTGTGCAACATTTAGACATTCAGAGGGAAGATTCCAAATCAGATCGTACTATTAATCCTAGCAAATTTTCCTCAGATGAGATCTCCCATCATCTTGAGTCTATAAATCATATTATGGATTGCGCCCCTATGTACACAAAAGGTAGTTTAAACACACACCATTTAGTTTTTGATGCTGATAATGAAATATTTACAGAAGACAAAACAGTTTGTTTTAAAAACTTAAACTATGTACATAAACTATCTACTTATAGGCATGAAAAAATTAAGCCAGAAAAGGGCCAGGAAGATAAGAAAAGTGAGAAAAATAGGAACAAAAATGGGAGAAATTTTAATATATGGCAAAGTGTTATAAGCAATATTTTTGATAAAACTTCATATTATTTTGGAAAGATATATAAAAAAACTAATGATAATGACGATTTCACAAAACATAAAATTAATAAAAATATGAAAGCAGAGAGACATAAGGCTAAATATGCCCGTGAACAAACAAAATATGAATGTCAGGATGTGAATGTTTTTTATTCTTTTAATAATAAAGTAATGCAATGGAAAAAATATGTTACTGCAGATTCAGAAAATGGTAACAGAAACACTGTCAGACTCCAAATTCTGGAAAAAGAGTCTGTTTTCCAAAATGCAATTCAAAATGGTAAATTGATAACAAATACAGGCTTAGACTGGAAAGATGCCAGTTCCTCCTTAAGAATCCAGGAATTTAATTTAAAGCTAGTTAAGGAATCAAGAAAGATTATTCAAGCAAATATTTGTGTAGAAGAATTGCAGCAACTACAGAAAGAGTTTGAAAAGCTTCAGTACAACTTCTCCATTTCTCCATGTGAAGATATTTACAAGAAAAGAAAACAAGCAACAACTTTGGTGGAACATAGATGTAAATTAAATATTGGACACGAGAAGTGTATGAAGACCAAAATGCATTTACTGCCAGAAGTCCAAGGTCTAATGTGGGAAATCAGAAACAACTGTGGAAGCCAAAAGACAGAATCAGGTACTAGGCAACTGTTTTGGTAATAAAGCAAGTAAATAAATCAAAAATTCCTGAAAATTTTTGTTTTTAAACAAAGAAAGATCCTCTATTTTTATTAGGCATAATGCAACAAAAATTGATAGCTCTTTTACACTGGCAGAACTTCAAGATAATATCCTACTCCAGGGGTGTCAAACTCAAGGCCCATGGGTTAAATATGGCCCGCGGGGCCACCTTGGAAACAGCAAAGGACCGGCCTGCGGTGCCTCTGCCAGTGAAAGTGAAGCTGCGGAGGCCACATGCATCCCTCTTGGGTCCTGTTTTCGCTGACAGAGGGCTACAGGAGGCCATTGCAACCAAAAATGGGGCCCGGGGGGAGCACGAGCTCTGTTTTCACTGGCAGAGGGCTAGCAAAACAAACTAAAAACAAAAGAGGAAATGTTTCTCCTTTTGCATTTGGGAATGCAAGAAGGGATAGGAGAGGAGAAAGGGAAAGAGGAAAGAGAAAAGGAAGGGAAGATGGGAAGAAGAAAGGAGAAGGAAGGAAGGAAGGAAGGAAGGAAGGAAGGAAGGAAGGAAGGAA